GCAGGGAGGAACGCAGGCCAGTGGAGTTGCTTTGGTTATAAAGAGCTAGGGAGGACAGAGCGGCGGCATTTCAGCCCGTATCTGGGTCTTCAGCGGACTCTGCGATGGCAGACAGGAAAGCTGAGTCACTGCATTCCTCCATAGGGCTCTTGGGCATTTCCGCAGGTAGGGATCGAGTCGTCTTGGCATGGGAGGATGGGGTTGGGACTAGCTTTCGTGGACAACCTCCTTTTCGAAGGGGGCTAAAGAGTCTGTTTATTCTGAACCTCCTCTGCCTAGGTAAAGCTTTTAGATCCAGAGATCCCTGTGCCTATTGCAGCAGCCAACACAATGTTTGTCTTGGCTTTAAAGTGCTGGCCTGAGCTTTTGGACTCGATCCATCCTGGGTGGGAAGCAAATCAAAACTTTTTTGGTAGTCATTTTCATAAATAATTTGGAAGCGCTTTCCTCCCTTTTCCCTTTCTGGCTGTTTTCCCTGCAGCTCTGTTTGCCGTGCTCACTCCCTTTCGTTTGCTCCTCCTTTGCATTTCGGCTGTCCGAGTGCTGCCCCTTTGCATTTGGAGGCTGGTTTTCTGTAGGCACAAGGCTCAGGTGATCATCTGTAGAGCACCCGTGCGCGTGTCTGTCTGCCTTTTGTGTAATGGGGATGGGAGAGCTGATTTCTACCTTTATCTGACAGCAGGGGAGCACTTGCAAACATCATTAAGTTCAAGTTTCTTAAAACTAGACACTTAGAGAAGAGTGAGACCTTGGGCACAAACCAAGTTACAACACCCCCCTGCCAGCTCCTTAGATTTCATTATTTGCAGACCTCGTGCTGTTATTTTTTCTCTGTTCTCTCCTGGTTTTTCTGGGCAAAGTTTTCAAGCTCTTTCTTTTTTTTCCGCCTCCCTTGTCACGCACAGGATCGCTCGTACTGGCGGTGCATTTCTACGGCTTCCCCAGAGCCGCCCCTCTGATCCCCAGCACAGCTCTAGGAGTCCTGCTCTTGATTTTATCCTCTCTTCTGGCATATGCAGGTAGGACACCGAGGATGGCCAGCTTCAAGACCTCCCCCTTCTACCGCTTTGCATGTATTTGGGCTGCTTTGTAAATAGGTTTGTACAAACCGTGGCAGCCTTGCCAGAGCACTGATTCATTCTCCTAGAGGAGGGTGTCAGCACAGCAGTTTTTTCCTACATAGGCGAGCAGAGAAATCGATGTTAGTTTTGAACAAATGCTTTACCAGGGTCTCTGTGAATTTTCACAGAACATGATTTCTCTACAAATGGTTCCCAGGCTTTCTGAGAGTACTTTAGGCATCTGTGGATTGAAAGGGCGTGTCAACGTGTAAATGCCAAGAGATCTACTTGTCTGGGAGAAAAAATCACTGGCTGTAACAAAGTTGAGGCTTTTTAGAACGAATGCTGAGTTATTTCTCCTTTTTAACACATAGTGATGAGGACAGGAAAATCACAGAATTGGTGCTAGGTTTTTTTCCTCTACAAAACAGACGGCTTGGGAGAGTCACTACATATTTAACCTGTGAAACATAGGTCCACCTCTTCTCAGTCAGTGATGGCACAAAGCGTTAGTAGAAAGCTCTTAGAAGCAGCTGTATTGATGGGACCATATGGAATGGGCCACTGGGCAGGTGATCATTGTAGAATCACAGAATGGTTTGGGTGGGAAGGGACCTTAGAGACCATCCAGTGCCACCCCCTGCCATGGGCAGGGACACCTCCCACCAGACCAGGTTGCCCAAAGCCTCATTCAGCCTGGCCTGGAACCCCTCCAGGGATGGGCCATCCACAGCTGCTCTGATTTTGCACCCTTGGTGGAAATCAACAGCTTCCTACCAAAGGCAGGAATTTCTGTGCTCCCTTGCTCCAGGCAGTGCGTACTTGTGTGATTACAGTCCCCTGTAGCCTGGGGACTCATTCAGCAGAGCTCTTGCTTCCCTTCCCAGCCTAGGTCTAGCTCACAAAGCTGTATCAGTTTGAGGAAGCAGTGAAGCACAGGTCCATCACAAAGCTTGGAAGGAAGCTTTCTGGTCTGTCCGTGCTGATCAGTATCTTCACATCATGCGGTACAGTGCTTGGTTAAAGGATCTCCAGTAGTGTGGGCTCGCCTCAGGCATTCTGCTGAACACAAAGTGGTGGAGTCTTTACGGTCATGTCTGAACAGTGTAGTGGGGCTTGGTGCAGACCTACCCAAACTCACGGTAGCATCATGCAGGACCTGTGCAGCTCCACGCTAGCATAGCGATCATGCTTCCAATGCACCATGTGCCTATAGCACACGTCCTCACTACCTCTTTCCATACCCTACTGTCTCGAAACCACAGTTCCATCCCCATTGTCGTTTTTTTCACAGGAATTCGGAGAAGCCTAAGAAATGCCTCCCTGTTCTTGTCTCTCTGCCTGACCATCTCAGCGTTCTGGTGCGGCTATGGAGTGGTCTTCATCCTGGGAGGGCAAGGAGTTTTGAACGACACCGGTGATTTCCGCAATGCCTTGGTGCCTGGCCTGGTCACATTTACTTTGGCACTACTCATTATTGCAGTGGTGGGCTTCCTTTGCAGAGAGGTCATCCTCGCTATGATTGCTTCTGCTGTCTCACTTGCCAGTGCTCATGAAGTCGCCATGCACTATAGCACAACTTTCGGTTCCTCTGCTGTGGCTTGCAATTATATGATTGTCTGCTTGGTTGGGGGTTATTTTGCTCTGGGAAGGATTCTTTATTTCCTAACCAAAGAGAAAATTGCCCTCCCTGGCACAGATCTGGCCAAGAAAAAGACCCATGAGCAGATCCAATCCACCAGTGTCAACATGAATCATTTTGCAGTCACCGGTCTGATCCTGAACATGCTGTCTGCCAGTGTCTTTGGCTGTAGGCTCCTGGGCGTCACTGGCAAATTATTTATTGGTCAGGTGCCCTGGCTGTGGACAGCTGGGGTCTACCAGATTGGCGTCTGCATTTTATCATACCGTGCAATGGATGTACTAATGGCTACGTTCTTTGGTTTCACTTCCATCCTGAAATTTGCTGGAGGCTATTGCCTTCTGTACCCAGTCTGGCAACTGGAGGAGCCATCTTTCCCTTCTCCATTCCTGGTGATTTTCTCAATTCTTTTTGCTGTCTTGGCTCTTTTTCTCACCCTTAAGAGCCCAGTGGATGGCCTGTATTTGCTGTTTTATGTGGCTTACTGCATTGCGTTAGCTTGCCGTCCCAAGGGATTTTTTGAAGGTGGACCCCAAGGCGTGGCTGTGGCCATCTTTGTAGCCTCAGCCTTGATGACTCTAATTCACCTGTACAATGTGAAAGCAAATGCCAAGATCCCAACAGGGAAGGCTGCTGTGAAGGCTCTACTTGCTCGTAGCAGTTTTCTGAAGCTTCGAGAAGGAGCAGACCTTCACGCTCCCTACCTAGGCTATTCCAAGTATGCAGATGCAGACGTACTCGGCTATGCATGCAGTGTCCTGGCTTCTTTTGCCATAACAATGACAGGGGACCCACAGGCTCCACTTGCCGCTGTTGTAATTCCGTGGGTGGTGGTAGCTGGTGGGATCCTTAAGCTTCTAAGCGGCTCAGTGGCCTTTGCCCGGGGTAAGACCTTGGAGAGCACTGCCTTCATTCTCTATGCTGTCATGTGGATCATCTGGGGCTTGACAAGATATGGTGGCCTCTATGGCACTACCAGAAGCTTCCACGCAGCGGTAGGCATCATTGCGTTCATGCTCTTCAACGGCTTCATTGTCTTCTGCACGCTCTTCTTAAACATCGCCTGGTTCTTTTACTCCCTCACTTTCTTTCTCATCGCTATCAGCTTCTTGCTGGATGCCATCCATGCTCTTCCAGCTGGCTATGACATTGCTGCCACTCTCATCTTTGGTCTGGTCAGCTTTTACTGCTTCCTGTCTGCCCTTCTCAACAGCATCTTTGAGGGTTCCTGCTTGCCCATGGGTAGGCCCATTGTCCAGCTTAGTGGTGTGGGGGGAGGAATGACCAAGTGCCTTCACCTGCCTGCCAGGAAAGCTTCCTCAGTCAAGAGAATTGCAGGTAAGGGAAATACCTAGGGCATGATGTGGGGGTGGAGGGAAAATTCTGGGAGGTTTTGTAGCAAAGCTCTGTTAAAAGGACATTGTTCCAATCCAGATGTGGAAACCATGGTAACCTGATGACATTTTGATGAAGTGAGCCAAGTTACAAGACTCATTAGAAGCTAAATACACCCTGGGGGAGATAGGACCGATTCCATGATGGGAGCTGGGTTTAGCGGCGAATTTGCTGCTGTCTCTCCTGTATCATACCGCTGTCTGCTCACCCAGTCTGAGATACATGAATCCTCCAGGCTGGGGCTGCCACTGAAGGCTTTGTCCAGAGAAAGCAGGGCAAACGCACGGTGCTTGCTCTCTCCACAGGGCTGAATGACTTCTGGCCCTGAGGAGCGTGGCCCAGAACTCCCCTAAATGCCAGATCTCCTCTTGGATGGATGCTAGAAAAGGCACTGTCAGAGGAAATGCTTTGTTAGTTGGGAAAAGGAGATGAGAGCACCGAATTGGCTGTTTTGTCTGTGACAGCTCTTCCGTGAATTACAGCCCCTCACTTCTAGTCACTCAAGGGGTTCTGCCCTGTTCACATGCCAACAGATATCCTGAAGAACGGAGGGACTTGCGGCATCCCCACGGATACTGTGTATGTGCTTGTGGCAGCCTGTAATCGGCCCGATGCTGTGGAGAAAGCTCACCAGTAAGTATTTGCCTTGCTGCCCCAGGGAGGGCTTCCTTGGCTGGTCTAAAGAAGCCTTTAGGACTCAGAGCTGCTGCTGAGTCCTGGCCACAGCAGCCATCGAGAGCAGTGAGACGGACGGCATAGCCTTCATGGGAACAACCAGGTGATGAGCCTGGGGGAGAAGATCTGAATGAGGAAGGCAGAGAGTTGAGCTGGAATGGTCTTCTAGGATATTGAAGGCTCCTGGCAGGTGATGGAGCCAGGTAGCTTGGATGCCACAAGGAAACCCAAAGTGGCAGGTCGGGCAGGGGTTTATTGTACATATTGTCACAACCCAAGCCACTCCCGTGTGTAACAAATGCTCCTAATGGTACTTTTGTAAGCAGCAGGGACCCCTTATATTGGTGAAGTTTCCTCAGAACTTGGGCAATCGGGACGTCTACCCATCACTGTGCAAGAAGCCAAAACCTTGATGTGGAGCAGACATTCCTGACGGGGAATAGTTGCTAATGTCCGTTCCTGTCAGGTCGTCTGTTGAGCAGTCCTGCTTCTCCTACAGACGGGTGACCTGGGGCAGAGCCTGGCTGAACTCTAGGCCTCGCCAACGCAATTTCCTTTGCAGATTGATAATAAACCCCCGTCTTACTTCCAGGCTCATTTTTCTTGCCTCCTTTGCAGGTCCAAGCGCCAGGCTCAGGATCGCCCCATGTCACTCTGGATTTCTAGCCTGAAGCAGCTGGAACCTGCAAAGCATTTGTTCCCTCCCGTCCTCTGGGACTTCATGGAGGCTGCCTGGCCATCCCCCATTAGCTTGGTGGTTCCCAGAGGTGAGGAAATCTTGCTACTTCCAAGCTCTCTGGAGAGCTTTGGCTTTGAAACTCCAACTTTTAAGCCATGCATCCCTGCAATGCCACACGTTCCGTGGTGATGCATCCGGTAAGATCTTTGTGTTCGAGTTGATGTACATCCATAAGGGCTGTGTGGCTCTTCCTCGTGCAGGTGGATGGGTGGACTTCCTGGGAATGAAGGACTCCGCTAAATACGTCGGCACCCCTCAGAGCATCGCCATCCGCATCCCCGACTGCTCTGTCACCACACACCTCATCGACTTGGTGAGTACACAGAGCACGCTCATCCCACAGTGCTGGTGACCAGTCCTTGTCATTCCGCTGTCTAGGGAGCAGGGCTGGTGTCGGTCAGTAGCACCCAGGTCCTCTGGCCTGCTGGAGAGGAGAAGGATTGTGCGAGGCTGGAGCACCCTGTCAGCCCTCTTGGCATGTCGCCTCTCCTCTCTTTCTTTTCTCAATGAAGCGAGGATCCTAGCGTGTTCAGACAGGTTTGGGGAGTGAATAGTGCTAATGAGAGTAGCTCCTGCAAGAAAAATATAATTAAGAAGGGGTGGGGTGTGCAGGCAGCTGGGAGCTGATTTTATTGCAGAAAAGAGGGTAAAAGGAATAACGCACCAGGTCAGAAACCCAGAAGAGATGCAATTGACAGACACTTTGTCTGATTTCCTACATAGAACACTTCTGTTGCAAGCACGGGCTTATCTGAAGCCAGAATAACTTCAGAAAGTCCAGAATGCGGCCAGAGAAACTGTGATACCCTGCACGTTCTGCTCATTTCTAGGACAGGCATTGTGGGTCTTTGGCAATTACTGTTGCTGGAAAACAAAATGTTCTTTCTTGATCAACATCAGTAAACCGCAGATCAGCAGGGTGTTAGTCACCCGTCCACGGATTTGGTGGGATTGTAGTTGCCTACAAAGTCGGTGTCTCTACCTGAGTGAGTCACACCGAGTTCTATTTAGAGTCACAGAGACTCATGAGTGAACTTCAGAGATCCTCCGTTTTATACAGCAAAACTTGCTCAGAGCTTTTGTTTCCGTTTTTCTGCCACCAGGTTGGCCCCATTGTGGTCACGTCAGCTAACCCAACGGGAGAGGCAGACACAACACACCACAACCAAGTGTATGCCAAGCTGGGAGACAAGGTAACTGGGGCTCTGTGTCTCTTCATTCCGGCTGGCCCCAGAAGATGTGGGGATGGAAGAACACAACCACTCTGTTTCCAGCAGGCAAATCAATAGATGATGTCGAGAATCTGGGAAAGCATCTCGTTAAAAAAATCCCATGGACACTCCTCATGTTGGTGTCATAGTGAAGGAACAGTGTAAAATACAGAACCTGGTGGGAAACTAAAATTCTTCTGATTTATACAATATAGTTATGGCTTGGCAATGTGAGTTGGTTCATCTTCCAACGCAGAATTATATGAGCAAGAAAAAAATGCTTCTTTGCTCACAAGCAATAAAACCACTGATGCCTGAATGTGCCAGGGCTCCAGCTGGGGCTGAGCTGTCAGAACACAGGGGATTCCCATCTAAAGCTGAAGCTGGTCTAAAAGTGCTGTCAGAGCTCTGAAATATTCCTGGCTTTTAGAACTTTCATAAGTTCTGGAAGTACGATGGCCATGGCCATTCAGATGGCTGCCTTTCATTTCACTGCTAACTCCTGGGTGTTCTGCATTTTGTATATTCACAGCAGCTTATGTGAGGGCAGTTTTAAACAAAAGGTGGTACAAATTTTCCGCCTCTAACTCCTCAAAAACCTGGTTATTTATACATTTACTTTGTAGATGGGACTTCTTCGGAGCTCCTCAGCTGATGTAAACCTGTCTTTGCTGAACTGCTGACCTACAACCCATGCAGCTCCCTCTCTCTTTATTAAGTTCATTCATTCCAAATTCAGCCCTTAGCGTCCATACAGCGGGGTAGGAAGGAGCAGAGTTGCCTTTGGTAACAATTACCTGCTGTTGAGAGGGGGAAGCTGCCCTCTCTTTTCCCAAGTGCTTGAGGGAACCTTGGTGTGAACATCTGTTGCTCTCCAGGTGGATGCAGTCCTTTGTGATGGCCCTTCTCCAGAGAACATCGCCTCCACCGTTGTGGACTGCACCAAAATCGACAGTGGGAACATAGGATTCTTCAGAGTCGGCATCATCCCCAAGTCTCAGGTATAATTAATCTTGATTTTATTTCTGCTCCCTTTCTCCATCTCCGTTATATGGGTCTCAGTCTGGGGGTTTCCTAATTCCATGAGGAGGTGAAGAGATCTGTGCTAGCATGAGGAGTTATCACAGGGTGGTGTGAAAGAGCAGAAAAACCGAGCTCCGTGTTGCCTGCATCCCACTCCTGCTTCCAGATCACCATCACACCTCTCTGTGCTGTGAACGCTGCTGGGGAACATGCGAGGTGAGGCTGATCCGTTCACAGAAAGAGCTCTGAGATCCAAGGTCATGGACCTCTGTGGGGCAGGCTCTCCATTTACACCCATCCCAGAGACCTCTGAGCAGGCAGAAATGCTCAAGTAATCCCAAGGCTGAGCCCAGACACATGCTTGAAAGAGAACAGGGCATTATTCCAGTAGCAGGAGAAGAAATTAGTGTTTCCCCTAATTACGAACCCACTGACGGCTGTGTTTACTAATTCCAGGTGCTGCAGATACTGGAGCAGGTGCAGAAGAAGCACACGTTGGTTCCTAGCAGTGGCACTTGCCCCACAAAAGGCCAGGAAGAACATCAGAACCACAGCCATGCTGTGCACAACGGGGTGGGCAAGGCTGCCGCGGAAGAGACGGCGCTGGTGCAGTCCCCTGATGACGGCTGCGAGAACCAAACCCGCCTCTGACTCCCGCGCAGGTCGAGCAGCTGCGTGCTCACTGGGAAGGTGTTTGCTGGAAAATGACATTTAGGTCAAACTGGGGCATGGGAGACACTTCCCATCTGCAGGGGTGACGTGTTCATCTTTCTGTGCACGCTGCTCAGATATCCCAGTGCAGAGCTGACTTACAAACCACAGTCACCCGGAAAGTGAAATTTTCACTTATGGAGACTCCCAGCTTTCACTGACGATCAGACGTGACCAAAGAAAGTGTTATATTGGTGCCAGACTGGCCCCAGAGTGTCAGAGCTTTATTCCTTTCCCTGGGTGTTCATACCTTTGGTTTGGGGCACAGTGAGGTGTTTCGTAATTACATGGTGGGGGGAAAGCACTGCTTGAAACTTGAAGTAGGGGAGGGAGAGGAGACGATGTATCCCAGCGCTGTGCTGGGGAATACAGCGGGTTTCCTGAACTAGGTGAGGCAAAGAGTGGCCTCGGGAGCTGGGGCTTGGTGTGTCTTCTCAAAATGGAGTTCACAGAACCCAATACTAAAAAAGAAATGCTGTTATCCACGATGCCGTTTTCTGTATCTCACCGTTGGTGTCAGGGTGGAATTACCATTTCCTCACTCCCATCAGATCTCCTCAGACGTGCTGGAGCATTACAGAAGACCCTCCCTTCCCACGCTAACTTCTGCAGAGCAGGAATTCCAGGAGAATCATCTGCACTGCGTCTGAGGATGCGAGAAGCTGGTCTCTTGCCTTAGAGCATAGCTGCACACATCTCATGGCACGATTCCTCCAGAGCGCGGATCCAGCTGCTGACCGGGGGGAGGTGGAAAGAAATCCCAAACCAACGTGAAGAGTTTTCCATTCCCAAAACTGCCTGGCTGTGCAGTTTCTGGCCTCTGAAAACTGGTGATCTTATTCTTACCTGACTCAGGTGCAAGGTGCTGATCAAACTCCAGCTGAAACCAATGAGTTGATTCACTGATTTCACCTGAAGTTCTGCTGGAACTCCAGCGTAAATGCTGTGCAGTCAGAGGAGTTCAGCCTCTAGGAACCAGAACCAGGTCTTCTCGGCTTGTCCTTACAGAACTGGCTCTCTTCCTGCAGAGAAAGAGAATGCCAGATAATTGAGGTTGTTCGGTGGTTTTACTGGTCTACTTACTGTATGTCTTTGGAGTTTATTAAAACTGATTTTTGGAAAGCAATAAAGTATTTTCAATAAACACTCATATGTCACGCAGGACTGTGCTATTGTCTGCGGCAAGTACCTGGAAAAAAAAGTACTTGGGGTAGGGGTCAAAGGGGTAGGGGTCTCAGCACGGGAGGGTTCCTGGCCATACACCGAGGATCTTATGAGGGAATCAAACTGCGTCGCTTTCCGGGGTGGGGAAGAGAAGGGAAACAGAAGAAGATAACTCGGAACACCACCCCCTGGTGCCAGCTCCCTTCCTGAGTGAGGAGTGCGAACGAGCTCATAAACACCAGGGCTGAACCTCATCCCTTGCCTCAACACAGTCAAAAAACCCCATAAACGCTGAAATCTGGGGTAGTGCGGTGGAGAAGCATTGACCTGGAGAGGTGCTCAAGCATCACAAAGCCTTTCGCTGCAGGAAAACAGCAAAAAAAATAAAATCCCCCAGGGATGCTGCTGCCCAGAGCAGCTGTGGATGCCCCATCCCTGGAGGGGTTCAAGGCCAGGCTGGATGAGGCTTTGGGCAACCTGGGCTGGTGGGAGGTGTCCCTGCCCATGGCAGGGGGGGAACTGGGTGGTCTCTGAAGGACCCTCCCAACCCAAACCATCCTGTGATTCTGTGATTCTGTACATTTTGGTGTGCCATGCCTTAAAAATGACTTTAAAAGCTTCAGAAGATGCCTTGCCTGGGTGCATTTTTCTTCTTTGTCTCTCTCTCCGTGGTGCTTCTTCCTTAACCACAGACAGTTTTGTTCACAGCATCAGAACACAGGGACAACATGTGGGGGAATCTTTTCTCACTTTGCTGAGCGAGGTGCAAGGCAGGGAGATGTTTCAGCTCCATCCATGTTTTATCCCACCTACAGCTCTCCTGGGTACGAGCAAACTGGAAGGAAATAGTTGAGGGAGGAGGAGATTTAAATGGAGTGTTTCAGTTAAATCAAGGAAAAAAAAAAAAAAATTCCTAATATTTCCAGAGTTTTCCCAGTATTCAAGGTGAAGGAAAACACTTTTAAACAGAAGTGGGGAGAGAGGAGAAGCCACTGTTTAAAGTGGCAAATCCAAACTGCTTTGGTATGGAACTGTTGAGGCCAACATTTGAGCCCTTTTCAGCATAGCTCCTGAAAAATCACAGATCAAATCCGTTCTGAGATATTGACAAGAATTTATCAAAAATTTTCATCATTCTAAAAATGTAGGTTTTGGTCCCAAATTGTTGCTCAGCCGTCCGCAGAGACTTTCACTGAGCTCCGCTGGTGCTGCTCCTCTGCTGTCCTGCCTCATGGCAAGAGCCTGCTCCGTGGCAGGCAGGGGACGAGAGGGACAGAAGGGGACTTGGGGTCCTCAGACCTCCATCACCGGAGGAGTGTGGAGTGACTGAGGAAAATCAGAGACTCCTGAGAAAGGCCAGTTTTGGTTGTATTGTCAATGACTCGGAGGCCTTTAGCCCTCAAAGGTCACCCTGGGAGACAAAATAGTGTCATGAATGGGGCTCTTTGTGAAACAGCACTTCAGTCCCTCTGGGGGTGGAACCAACCCAGGAAGAAGGGCTGTCCCACCTCGATTTTGCCCTTTGTGGAGTCCAGACATCCGTGTCAATGGAAAGAAACAAACAAACAAAAATAAGAATGGAAAATAAAGGGGTGTGTTTTCCAGACGCAGGAAAAAACCAGCTCACCCTTCTGAGAATAGAGCCGTGCCATAGGAACAGGAGCTGACTCAAGGACATCTTGGGGGATGTTGGTATAGCGGGTGGACCTGATACTAGAGTTGGGCAGAGTGGTTCCGAGAGGAAGGGCGGCATCACAACCACCTCTTGGGTGAAACCGGACAAGCCTTGAGACACGGGCAGCGTCAGGATTGTCTCCTGACCTCCTCCAACTTCACGAAACACCAAGAACTGGGAGCTCTGCAGGGACTGAGCCCTCTTTGGCTCCGGCTCCTGAAATCTGAAAGCCAAAGTCTGCCTGGGATGGGACATGAGGTGGAGGAAGAGGCAGAAGCAAATTCCTGCCTAATTGCATGACAATCGGTCAAAGCGAAACCCTTTGATTTTGGCTGGGTTGAGGGCACAGCATCTGAAAACACAACCCGTGGTGGTTTCATGTCGCACTCACCTTGCTGCATTCTTCCTGGTGCTCCTCCCTTTCATACCGAGGGCCTAGGGTTATCACTAATTTTGTAGATAATCTGGTTTGTCGCTTTTTTAAGGAAATACCGACAACAACAAAGAAAACAGCCTGTTTCAAAATCCTGCGCCAGACCTTCAGCGGCTGCACGAACCACAGCTTGGATTTACATCCCTGAGAGCAGAGGTGTGGTGCCCAGCCAAGAGCCGACCAACCTCCAATGGTCTAGAGCCACCTGGGAGTCCCCAGAGGTTGTGCCACCTGTAATAGTGAATTTACAGAGGCTTGGAATAAGTCAGAAGAGAGGGAGCTGGGTGACAGCAGCCAGGCACTTAACCTAAGCAGAAAATAATTCTGTTTAAATTGTCTTTTGATTGTTGTAGTTCATGGTGCACCTGAAGTTGTCTGGTGTGGAACAGCCGTAGAGAATTTAGCAGCCTGATGAATCAAATGGATTGTGTAAAAAATGCACCTCCAGCTCTGTCGGGGTAGATGCCGGCCCCAGCAGCTCTCCGTTGGGATCCAGTATGCATCGGTGGGGTGTGAAGGTGCACAAAGACAACCAGGAGCAGGATCCAGCCCTCTGCACTGGTTCCTGGCTTGGAACTCAAGGGATCCCCCAGCAGCACTGCCCTGGGTCCCATCTCAAGGGTCCCAACATCTCATCATGGGCTGGATGGAGGACGATAGTCAGAAAGTGCTGGGGAGCAGTCGATGCCAGGGGTGATGTCGGGAGGTTGTGTGGGGAGGTCTGTCCTGTACATCCAGCTCAGCACAGC